ATGCACTTGTTCCTAGTAGCTTCTTGTTACTAGTAGTAAGGCCTTTGATCACACCCAAAGAACTATGTGGTGCACGGGCATTCTCGTGATTACGTCACCAAGCGTGGCATTCACTCAATGGAGCCCATCGTGGTCTCATGGGGACGAGAAAAGACATCAACAGGAATCTAAGGAATCAACGTGTTCAGAAAGAACTCAAAGAAACAGAGACATCACAAGGGACCAAAAGCATTTCAGAATATCAATGACAAGAAACAACAGACATCTAAATTCGGCCTTTTCCAGGGGTGCAGAGGAAACTATATACTTTTCTTGCTTCAAGGTCATCTAATTAAAGGGTAAGTGCCTGTGTGGGCGGGGGACGACACTTTGTGAGCTTGACAACTCTACTTCAAAAAGAGTTTGCAAGTAGGGATTTAAACAATTCTGTGGGATTTGGAGGGGTCTCGAGGTGTAGAAGGAATTCAATCATTACTACTAGCGTGGCACCTGTTACTACTAGCGTGGCACCTGTTATGCAATTAACCCTATACCACTTTATGTAATTCTCATATATTGCTGCATGTATCTATTTCCGTAAAGGGGTCACTGTCACCGGGATGAGCCACAAGATGACATTTGGAAAGTCGTAATTTTGGAGAATCGGTCTGCGGCTTGGTTGAGAGGGCTTGTTACACAACTTTTTGTTTTTCCCTGGTAATTGGGAACGCACCAGGATGGGAGGAAGGAGCTAGGCCTAGGAGAGCCACGACATGGTGCTTGAAAAGTTAGTATTAGGGGATCCACGTCGATAGGGGGCCTCCTATTTCCCGCCTCTTGACGAGGACCGCAGCCCAGCAAATTGAAAGATTGCTGGTACACATTGGGTACACATGGGACTCCAAGTGATTGAAAAGAAGTGACTTCCCCGATAGGGTAGACACTGTTCTTGATCATCTCCGAAGGTTTTTAGTAGCAAGAATGCTCCGTTCGTAGCGATGCCAGGAGCCCCGTTCGTAGCGTCCGAACGCTCCTAGTAGTAAGGCCAGGAGCCCCCTAGTAGCTTCTTGTTTCGCAAAATCATCGATAGGTTTAACACGTATGAAATTGATCATAATCATACTAGTGATATATGTCAGGCAAAGTATCGATGGCCATGGGGTCAAAGTGAACAGTGATATCTCAAAGGCTCCGTCAAAGTTGCTCATGTGGGATGCTGGAGCGCCCTAGGAGCCTCCTTGCTCCTAGTAGCGATGACCTTTGTTACTAGTAGCTTCTTCCTACTGGTAGTATGGCCAGGAGCTGCTAGTAGCGTCCTAGATCTTTGTTGGTTCTAAGATGTTGTTGAAAATCGTTGTTTGTATACTTGGGACATGTCTTGATGAGAGCTTTGGTTTAGAAGCATCGGTCATGTCATGTTGGTTTCTCCTTTGCAGGTCTTGTTTCAGATGCCTCTTTTGAGAGTGTCATTCTTACACACAGTGAAATTGTGTCCTGTAAATGAAAAGCAAAGAAGATAGAAAATAACAAAACAAGGAACAACAAAGGACAGCCCCACAACTCGTGTTAAAGTGTTTGAACAATTTGAGCCTGAATAATCCCAGAAAGAAAACACATTATAGCCTCAAATTCAACTATAGGTTTCCTTCAGTTTCACTAATCCAACTTCAAACCACGATACCACGGCGAGAATCGTTTGACTTATTGCTTCACAATGGGGAATCTTTGGGTGGTTCAAAAGGGTGAGGTGTTCGCTTGTGACTCTAATTTGCTCGTCGCTTGTGACGCTAAGTTGGTCGTTTTTTTCTTCGGTTCAAGAGTAGTTCAAGTGTTGTTCAATTGGCTTCGTGCTACTAGTATTCCTAGTAGCGATGCCCGTGTTACTAGTAGCTTCTTGTTCCTAGTAGTAAGGCCAGGAGCTGCTACTAGTAGCGTCCTTGCTCCTTGTTAGAACAAGACACACAATGATTTCACTAGCGGT